GGAGATATTAACATCTTACCAAGACAACTGCTGACAGAAACCCCCAGAAGAGACACAGCTGCGCCATAAAAATAACGTACATACAGGGATATGTCTGCCAACATACATTTTTGCAGCACGCACACCTAACCCCACAGGGAGCAGACCGACTGACTGTGCTGTAACCAGACTGCTATTTAGCTCTCAGAACGCAGGACAATTTTGCAATGCACACTGTAATAGCAGCATTCCTCAAAAAATGGCAGAAACTTTGGGGTCAGGAAGTAAAAATTCCTTTGATTCTTCCAATAATTCACTCTCATGTTGGCTTTCAACACTTGTCATGTCCCTAGCTGAAGAGCTGATGTAAAACAGATCTATGGACTCCTTTTGTCTTAAGAGACAAGATGTGCAAGTCTGTTATGGTAAGGAAACTCTGACTTTAGCACAGCCAGTCATGCATGACAAAAAAAGATAGTCAGAAGCAGTAACACAGAAAACAAGTATTGCCGTGAACATTCAATGCTCATTCACATTCAACACCCTTGGTCACATAAAACAGATATTGACTTGTGGGGCTGATTCAGGAATACAAAGTTTGAATGATCAGCCATATCAGCAACACTTTCAAGTGAAGACAAGTTACTGGAGTCACCATAGGTCTTCACAGAAAAACAAAGAGCTGCTTTAGCAGAGATAAAATCCAAGGTAACCATGTCCTGAAAGCTGGATTATGGATTATTTGCAGAACATCCAGCTGTGGTAGGGTCACTCAAGACCCAGACGTGCAAGAAACATCCCTCTGTGCAAGTCCATGTTCTTAGCAAGGTCTGAGAAGGAAGAACTTAAGTATACACACACAGACATATATACACTTAACGCAGTATGCTTCCTGAGCAGTTACAGGATTACAAATCACACATACTTCCTGCTTCTTCCATTTTCTTTTCATGGTGGCATAAGCAAAGACGAATCACTGAGAATATTTCACCAGTACTGACCAAGAGCTGTCAGGAAAAACACATGGTGTCTTTACAAGAACACAAAGCTTTCTGAAAAGCTGCAAGCAGGTACACTCCGTAGGCAATAAGCCAGTACTGCCGAAACAATAACTGGTAGTACTCTGGGATTACCACTCCTTTCATTTGATGGCACCTGACTCTTGGACGCAGAATTATCGACCACGCAGGTGAACACATCACTAAACACTCACAGCAGACCGCCCCTTCCAAAGTGGGAAGTACCGATTTTGTAGACTAAAAAATACACGGATTTTTATCATGCGCTTTCAGGAAAATGGGAAGCTGGACAAACTTGACGAAAAGCAGCTCAGCAAGGCCGAGCACAAGTGCGCAGGGCTGTACTGGCTGGGGGGACCAGGCGGTAAACCAGCCACAGCGTTAGTTCCAGGTTACAGCCATTGCAGCAGGCCCGCTCTCGGCAACAACACTGAAGGTTTGGAGAAAGCTACCGCTGGTGGGAACTGTCCCTTAGCTCACTTCCCCTCCCTCCCCCCAGCAGAAACCACTCCAGGCTTTCTCCCTGCCCGGAGCCTTCACTTGGAGGCTCTTCCACTGCAACCAACTCGAGAGCGACAGAGCAAGGTGTCCTACCACCGCAGGAGAAACAAAGGCAGCCCTTAGCGTACATATGCGGACATGGGTTGATAAAAACTTGTTTGATACCTGACTGAGATGGCGTTTCAGGACAAAAGGATTATTCATAGCAAGGTTACCTTGAAAAGTCTTAAAACCAGTAGGCTGGCCCCAAGGGACACGACCTACATGGACAACACCCACACATGGAGCAGCAACTCACAGGTATCACGTATTTCACTCCGGAGTAATACCATGGTGTAGAAGCAACTTGGTTTTGACTTAATAACATTGAGATTAAAAAAAAAAATCAAGTCACTATACTACTGTTTACATTTTTATTCTTAGACGTCATGCAATCATGTAGTATTACTAACTTTCAGATAGTTATTTAAAATGCATGCAAGTTACTCAAATACTCTGACACTGCTTCCCTGCTTTCCCCGCCCCTTTTTCTGTAGGTAAGGTAATGATTTACGCTGCTACAAGATTCAGCCTGCTCGCCCTACTAAACACATGTCTTTTGTAAATTGGTTTCTGGGTTGCTGATAACATTGATTTTTCTCTTTATCTCAATTCCTACCTCCACCTCAGCTCTTTAAAGATCAGTTCTTTTGGTTTCCTTCTGTCTGTTCTACAATCTAAAATGAGATTTTAATGCTGGTGGACCTGGCAGCAGCTTTAAAATATAAACGAAAAAAGGCCAGTGCAGTAAATTTTCCTAAGCTCACTTTGCTTTCCTTGGTGACTTCCACTCCTGTGTCTGTCCCAGCTGCCCTCCAGACAGCTCCTATCTCCCAGCAGAGAAGCTCACTTGCCCTCATTTATGAGGCTGGTTTTCTTTATTTCCGTTGTCACAACATGCGCATAAACTGCTGTGACAAGGTCCCAGCCCAGCATATCTTCTCACTCCATGCAGCGAAAGCATCTGTGTAGCACAAACCCAGGTTTTCTGCTTATTTCTTTCCTCTTTTGATTACTCCTACAGTGCCACGAGTCTTTTGCCTGTTCAGGTAAGTAAACCAGACATCAAAGCACCTCTGCGGCTGGAACCGCGGGGCCTTCTCCCCGGGTCACCAGCCACGGGCTGCCCCAACCACAAGCCGCTTCACCAGACCTGCAGCAACTTGCCTCAGCACGAAGTCACCTCACACCACCCCTCCACGCCAAACCCGCCGGGCAGAAGGAGCGAAGGGCTTTCCAAAC